TGGAGTAGCCTAAGGCAGTAGGGCAAGGAGTTGGGCCCAGGCTGGTCTGTGGGGAGCTGGAGAATGGTGACTCAAGTGACCAGTGGACTGACAGGACCCAGGCCAGCATCACAAGCAGGGATGTCAAGCAGGAGCAGGGGAGCTTCTCACTTGGCAGCTGGTTTATGGTACACATTTGAAAAGTAAGCTCCTGGGGCCTGGCCTCACATGCTCAGTGAATATTTGACTGAAGGGACCCTCTTAGCTTGGGAGTATTCCCGGATCTAAATGTTAGTTATGCTATTAACTAAGCCTGGTCCTTCATTACAAAATTTTAAAATGAAATTGCATCATTCTTGTGGAAATTCAAAGACAAACATTTTCTTTCAACAAATTCACACATTCGTTCATGCTTTTTCTATACCTTTTACCCCTAAAGTCATCCACTCCTGACTTCCTCCTGCTGGTTTACCAAACTGCGCAATGACTGCCCCATCGTAGGCAGTGGTCTGCGGAGTCAGCCTCACTTTCACCTTTCCCCGCATCTACTTGTTTCCAAGGCCAGCGGTACTTAACTGGGTCAAGTTGCCTGTGGACCTTCAGGAACAGAATTGCCATGTTCCTCGCTGCCTGCAGGAAAGGCTCCATTCCAAGCCCAGTGAAGATGTGTGCCTATCCAGCCGCCTACCAAGGATGTCATCTGTAGAATGGGTGGAGGGCAGGGGTTTATTTGGGGTACATTTTTATGTTAAAATGCACTTAATGTCACTCTGGAAAGCCCAGATGAGTGCAGATGTGCCTGTAACTTCCTCCTTTAATCTGTCCAGGTAGTATTTAATCTTTAGTCTTACATTTTCTTTCTCCCTTCATTTCATGGAATTCCTTGAGAAAACTTCAACAGTAAAGAAAGAAATTTCATTCATCTCACAACTCTTCCAAATGAAGAAACTTAGCGAAATTTATTTCCGAGCTTCTAGATGTGCAGTACAAAACTTGGGATCAAATGGAATCTTGATTCATTAACCAATTTAAGATCTGACTTCTAATTTTAGTAACTTTGGGTTATGAACGCTTCCATTTTATACCTGTGTCTAGTTAGTTTGCCCACAAGCTTTTATCAAGGGTCCACCATGTGCCAGCCCCTGAAGTAGATATAAATACAAGGATGTGTAAGGTATGGATGATGGTATACGAGCTGTCATCTTACTGGATTTGTCCGCTCTGATAAAGATACGGTTCCGAAAACTTTTTAAAGCCCCAGAGAGGACTTTAAGGCAATGTAGCATCATATATAGAGACATCAACCTGTTGATATCTTTCTATTTAACGGAACTGTGCACCTGGGCACAAGGGTGTGCACAACAGGATGTGTACAGCAGCACTGTTAAAGTGTAGCACATTATACTACAGGATCTTATGCAACTGTTGGAAAGAATGAAGCGACGCCGCACTGTGGTCATGCAGTGGTCTTTAAGACATACTAACTAGAAAAGCAAAAGGCTTAACAATGCATAGCAGTCGCGCGCGGTGCCTCACGCCTGTAATCCTAGCACTTTGGGAGGCTGAGTGGGGCGGATCACCTGAGGTCAAGAGTTTGAGACCAACCTGGCCAACATGGTAAAACCCTGTCTCTACTAAAAACACAAAAAAGCTGGGCATGGTGGCACGTGCCTGTAATCCCAGCTACTCCGCAGGCTGAGGCAGGAGAATCGCTTGAACTAGGGAGGTAGAGGTTGCAGTGAGCCGAGATCACACCACTGCACTCCAGCCTGGGTGACAGAGGGAGACTCCGTCTCTAAAAAACAACCAAAAAAACAAACACAAGAAAACAATGCATAGCAAGCTATAATGTTGTTTGTGTTTTAGAATAGTAGAGGTCTGGAAAGTTGTTTGCTTTTCCCCAGTTTTTTTTGCTGTGTTACCTCTGTAGGAAATTGAGGTAGAGGGGAAAGTTAGAAGGAATATTTGACTTTTCTGTTTTATATCCTCCTGGGTGAAATTTTTATAACAAACATGTACTGGTGTATTTTGAATGTTTTTAAAATTTTATATTTCAGAATAATAAAATATAAATTCAAACTGCAAGCTGGCTGTGTCGCATTTCCTGGGCTATGTTGTAGCCTCCATTCCTCCATTTTGTAGCTCCACCTCCAGGGTCACCTCAAATTGTCAGGGCGGTGGGAAGAAGCCCAGCACGTGGATCACTTTCTGCATAGGGTTGTCTGTTTCATTGTGAAGCGCCTTGTCTTCTTCGTCCAGCAATATGATTTGTTGTCAGCCTCTCCCTGGGACACAATATGTGGTTCATAGTTTTGAAAGAATTAGAGGAAAAAAATGGTATTAGCATTATAGTTGCAAAGATAAAGCAGTTCTTTGGATTTATCCTGTTCTTCACCAGGGAGCTCAGAGTACCTAAGGAGGAAGACATTACATATTCAACTCAGAGTAAAACACCTGATTCTGGGAAATGACTAAAGTGTGTTGGTGACAAAAACTGGAAAACTAGCTCTGCCAATTTAGAAAATGTTACTGGCTTTATAAAGTTGTGGAGATCTGTAGACAGTTTAAATTGCCAAGGTTAGAAAGGATTACGTTTGAGAGTTTGGGAAGATTATGAAATGATTGTTACCCTAATGATTTAAAAGGTTCATTTTTATTAAAGTATGAATTACCTATTTGGCTTTAAACACTAATATCCTTGGCTTTAAACACTAATATCCTAGGCAACAAAGGGTTAGCTCACTTAGTTGGGTGGGCATATTGTGAATTAGATGCCCTAAGTGGAACATTGCATTATTGTGGAGGTGTTGCAATCTTTTGGACATTTCCTTGAATTGTTTTGACCTCTAAATTGTAAGTATAGAGTAATAGGAAATTAGCAGCAGAGATTACCTCCTTTTCCCTCACGAGGTTAATTAGAAACCTACCTGCTCTGAAATGTCTTCAATAGACAGTGGCCTTTTATTGAAATAGACTCAAATTACAAAATGCATATTGTAAGACAACCTAAAAATATATTAATTTCTATTTATGAAATTGTTAGTGAAGTGGATATAAAGTTACTCATTTCATAACTTTAAGAACTGGTTTTTAATACTGCATTGTAGTCTGAATTATCTAAAACATTAAGACCCACTGTTACCTTCCAGAGATTTCTGCTTCTCAAACCCATGCTCTATATGTGCATGTTAGCAATGACCACAGAACCGTAAACTGAGCATTTTGTGACCTCTCTTTGGGAAGGTAGGCAACAAATTTACATGCTTTACTTTCCTACTGACTACCAGAAAGGCATGAGAATTATTTTAGCACCACGTGTGGTAGCCAGCATCCAGGATGGCCCCTAACAATGCCTGCTTCCCATCCTCATATTGTCCTCCCACAGTGTACCAGAGTTGTTTTGTGTGAACACAGCAGAAGTGATGGTATGTAACTTCTAAGATGAAGCTGTAAAAGGCTAGAACTTCCATCTTGGGCTGTCTCTTGGAACACCACTCTGGGGGAAGCCATGTCACAAGCAGCTGTATGGCGAGGCCCAGATGACAAGGAACTGAAGCCTCCTGCAAACAACTATGAATGAGCTTGGAAGTGGATCTTCCAGCTCCAGTCAAATCTTCAGAGACTGCAGCCCCAGCTGACAGCTGAGAGTCCCTGAGCCAGAAGTCCCCCACTAAATCACTCCCAGATTCCTGACCTTCAGAAATTAAGTCAGATAACTGTCTTAAACTAAGTGTTGGGGGTGATTACATGGCCATAGATAATTCACTACTTCCCCATAGTTCGTTTCCCACCCCCTCCCACCCCCATCCCCACATGCAGAATTTCGTGAAACACAGCGACTGCCCACAAAGAGGATTACTGCTTTAATGGCAGAGAAGATAAAGGGGAATCTTCTAGAATTCCACAAATGTGCCCGTTTTGTCCAAAAACTGATGTCTTCAGAATCTTTGATAGTGCTTTTAAATTTCTTTGCATTTGAAAACTCTATCTAAAGCAGGGTCGAATACTTCTAAACACCTACTTTGGGGTTCACCAGTAAACACTCTGGAACTTTCCGCATCCTTCAGAGGCAGGGGCAGGGAAAATTTTGGGGTCAAATCGTAGAGGGCAGCCTCTGCTATGTAGGTAATCGCCTTAGCCTACTGCCCCACTACCCCACCCTTCTCGTTTCCCTTTTCTCGGCTTTGTGATTTAAGAGTCCGTAGGAACCCCCCAAGATTCCTAGGGGAATACTCCGAGCTGCCGCTGTTGACCACTGACTCCTCACCCCCAGCTCTAGCTAGCATTCGACAGAGTGATAGGTAACCAGTTCTGCAAACTGCCATTTCCCCCGTTTTTAAGGATAAGAAAAGGAGGAAAGAATGATTTTGTCCTTTTACCTATTTACCTAGAATCCCAGGGTTGATGGCAATTGTCCCCAGAATTGTTTATCCTGCCTCCATGGCTCATTCTATAATTGCTCTCCGTCACCAAGAGATCCTAGGTTCTCTTGAGGACTCCTTAAGGCTACACTGTGCCTCACCACATTCATTTAAAACCCACTTGGAAACATTTCCCTCAGTAGAAAGAGCCCCCAGACTTTTTTTGATGTACAGATTTGTGACTGCACCAAGTTGTGAGTCATGTGTGATACTAAGCAACCCTGTTTGCCCTGGACATCCAAAACAAGTAACAAAAATATGTTCCCAAGAGAGCTTTAAGAAAAAACAAAAAAGCTGTGAAGTGCTTTACATTCAAAGTCTTCCTCCCCCATATTAAACTATCTTGAGTTGCAGGTCCTGTGAAGAGAAAGACCAGCTAATCCATCCTCCCCTTCTAAAAAACATTTCCAGTTTACAAAAGAGGCAACACTCAACTTCAGTTCAGTGTTACTTTGTATTTCTTTATTAATCAAACTGCAGGTTTAAGTCAGATTCGCACTGTTTTAGAGTCAAAACCGAGGTCTTCATTGACCTTTTTTTAGGAGGAATGACAGTTCAGTGCTTGTGACCTGCGGAGATGAGATCAGGCCCTCTCAGTTCTTAAGAAGCTTGTTTCGGGGGCTGGGAACCCGGGCTGGTGGTGTCGCGGGCTTTAGCCTCAGCGCCGCCGCCGTAGTAGAGTAGGTAGCGACTGGCCTGCACACTCTGCGCCATCACGTTGGTACAGTGGCACGTCATCAGCAGCAGGTTTCAAGGCTGTACGCGGTAGGCGAAGCGCATGAAGATCGCCGAGTACAAGATGAACGCTGTCGTCATGCGGCCACTGATGATCTCCAGTGACACCTTCATGTCTTTATTTTTATTTTATTTATTTTTTTTGAGGCGGAGTTTCACCCTTGTTGCCCAGGCTGGAGTGCAATGGCACGATCTCGGCTCACCGCAACCTCCGCCTCCCAGGTTCAAGCAATTCTCCTGCCTCAGCCTCCCTAGTAGCTGGGATTATAGGCAAGTGCCACCAGGCCCAGCTAATTTTGTATTTTTAGTAGAGACGGGGTTTCTCCATGTTGGTCAGGCTGGTCTCAAACTCCCGACCTCAGGTGATCCACCTGCCTCGGCCTCCCAAAGTGCTGGGATTACAGGCGTGAGCCACTGCGCCCGGCCTGCCTTCATGTCTTTAAAGGCAGCCAGCGGAAGGCCCCAGTCGAACACGGGACCCCAGAAGTGAGTGCTGCTCACGTATCCCTGGAACTCCTTGCTCTGGAAGTGATGTCTCATCGTTCACCACGGTACCGCCATCCTCGCCATGATGGAATAGCCGTAGGTGTGCCTACGGACCGACAGCCAGACCACAACGAAATAGAGCGCAAAGCCCAGTATCCGTAGCCGACCCTGACAGGGCGCTCGCTAGCGACCTCGAGCCTTCACGTGGCTGCCATAAAGTGCGCCGACAGCACGTGCCGCTGTTCTGTCGGAATGAAAGGGCATGGTTTCACCCTGGCGCCTTCGCGTTGACTGCCATAAAGTGCGCCGGACCGCACGTGCCGCTGTTCTGTTGGGGCGAAAGGGAGTGGCCTCACCCACGCGCCTTTCCCTGAATGCCGTTAAACTGCCGCGGACAGCACGTGCTCCTGTTCTACGGGGTTGCAAGGCCGTGGCTTTGCCGTCGCACCTTCAAGTAACCGCTGCAAAGTCCTCCAGACTACATGCCGCTGTTCTGTGGGGATGAAAGGGCGTAGCTTTGCCCTCGCGCCTCCGCATGACTGCTGTAAAGTGCTCCACAAGCACGTGCAGCGGTTCTGCCAGGGCGAAGGGGCCTGGCCTCATCCTCGCACGTTTGCCTGACTGCCGTAAAGTGCTCCAGACAGCACCTGCCGCTGTTCTGCGGGGATGAAAGGGCGTGATTTCGCCCTCGGGCGGACGTGACTACTGTAAAGTGCTCTAGACAGCCTGTGCTACTGTCATATGTTCCTGTTGGGGTTAGGGGAGGGGCGCAGCCTCACCCTTGCACTTTTGTGCCTTCCATGGACTGCCATAAAGTGCATACAGCATGCGTGCATGTGTGTGTCCTCTGGCAGAAGTGGAACCACAGCCTCAGCCTTCGTTCCCCACAGGGCTGCAGCTGCTTTTAAGTGCTGAGGGTTACTCGTGCCACCCGGAGAGGAGAGGGTCAGGCTACCTGCTTCTCAGCCATGCGAAGGGAAACTACTTGTTCTGACTAGTCCCTGGACAGTGCTGACTAGATGTTGATACAAAATTCCTCAACCAGGTTCAGAATTTTAGCCCTTACATAATTTGCCTGAGTGTTACTTGCAGACACGGTGACATTTCACCTTAAGATTTTAGCATCTGTCTCTTAAAAACAAGGATGGACCCCTACTTAACCACAATGCAGTAATCCACACTATAATATGCAGAGCATATTTAAATTTTATAGCTTTACGGCTTTTTTTTTTTTTCCTTCTTGTTGGAGGGGGAAATCAGGATTCAATCAAAATTCAAGTTTAGTTAACTCCTTTGATTAATATTTAATCTAGAAGAGTTCCCTGGCTTTTTGTGTTTCATGACATGGACATTTTTGGAGTCCAAGCTTGTCGCTTTTCAGAATGTCTTTAAGTTGGATTTGTCTGTTTTCTTACTAGATTTAGGTTAAACATTTTTTGATAAAACAACTTCACAAGAGATGTTGTATTCTTAGTGCATCACAATGCGAGGCACATGACGTCACTTTCTTCCAGCATTGGTGGTACTAAGTTCGGCCACTTGGTTAAGAAGTTATCCGCGGAGAAGTTGCGAAGATGGCAGAGTGAGGCATGCGGCTGTAAACTGGCCTCTGGGCCGGGACCCCGGGAGGCTGAGTGCGTCTGTTGTATAGTGCGAGGAGAAGAAAAAAAGAGATCGGCCAGAGGAAAGGAACTAACCGAACATTCTTCCTCCCTACCTTACAGAGGGGAGTGGTCATCTACACTAAAGCAAAGGTTCCTTATCACAGGAAGAAAAGTTTCCTTGACCATTAGGTGCTTTTATATTCATCTCAAAAACAAAATTCTGAACCCAGGACTTGGCAAATTCAATACAGAGGAGCTCCTAGGATTCCAGTTATCCTGCCAACTTCTCCAGGAAGAAAGAAACAACTCGCATGGGTCTTCCGCTGTTTGCTTAATTATAAAGAGATCATTTTGCAAGCTGAAGGCTGAGTTTCATTTGAAACAGGTGCTTAGCTGGTGGTATTGGTGAATACTTTTCATTCCAAGCAAGAAGACTAAGTAAGTAGCAAGTATGGATGACTTCAGGGTTTAAAAAACAAGTCTTCCAGTTTCAACCACTACCATGATAAGCACAGTAGAGACTGCAGCAGTAAGTTCCAAATATGTGTTTCTAATTTGACGTGAAAGATACTAAAAAATTATATTTATATATTTAAGTCCTGGCTCATCCTGTGACATAGATTTACTGAATAAGAACAAAGGCCCAATTTTGAACAAAAACCTAGGTCGGATGCGATGGCTCACGCCTGTAATTCCAGCACTTTGGGAGGCTGAGGTGGGTGGATCACCTGAGGTTGGGAGTTTGAGAACAGCCTGACCAACATGGAGAAACCCTGTCTCTACTAAAAATACAAAATTAGCCGGGTGTGGTGGTGCGTGCCTGTAATCCCAGCTACTTGGGAGGCTGAGGGAGGAGAATCGCTTGAATGCGGAGGGGGCAGAGGTTGCAGTGAACCGAGATTGCACCACTGCACTCCAGCCTGGGCAACAGAGTGAGACTCTCTCGCGTGAGCGGGGAGGGAGGAAAAAACCTTTGGACATAGAGGAGTCGGCGGCGGAGAGAGGAGGATGAGAGAATTTTCCACAGAACTCCTTTTCCCTAAGAAAAAGAAGCAAAAATGCCTCGTGCAGTGCCATCTGACTTTATGGTGTTTCACATTATATAGTTAAATTTCTTTAAACGCATAATATTAACTATTTTCCTGCAAACCAAGGTGGATACTTGGATGTTTTATTTTATTTATGTATTTATTTTTTGAGGTGGAGTCTCGCTGTGTTGCCCAGGCTGGAGTGACTGGTGCAATCTCTGCTCACTGCAATCTCTGCCACCGGGGTTCAGGCGATTCTCCTGCCTCAGCCTCCCAAGTGACTGGGATTACAGGCGCACACCACCACACTTAGCCTGATTTCTTACTCTAGATATTAGGCATAATGTTAGGCTGAAAAGGCTGGGACTCAGGTACTTTCCCCAGGTGGGACTGAACTTTCTAATCAGAGAATGGGCCTCAGAAGCAATGTTCCCAAACTTGTGGTTGGGTCATTGTAGATTCAGGCTGTGGAAAAGAAACCTCAAACAAGAAAAATAATTACAATAAGAAATTGATTTTCTTTTTTTTCCACAACAGTTATAGGTTATAAAGAACAGACTATCGTAGAAAACTGTCCTTGCTTCCACATCAGCAGAGGATCAGTATGTTTTGTCAGGTCTTTACATAAGACTGAAACCTTTATTTATGCTTCTTTGTGAGTAGAGAATACATTTTAAAACTAATTAGATGAAATTAAGAACAGAGAGTATTGGAACATCTCTGTGTTTTCTGGAATGTTTACTCAGATCCACGAATGCTGTGATGCTGGGAACTTAGGGCAGATTCACCAAAATTTGAGAGTGATAGAAATGGCCCAAAATGGGAAATGTTGAGCACTCTTACTATTAGTGAGACTGGTCAATCAACCCATTTGAGATGGGTAAAAAATACTTTTAGTAAAATACATATTATATATAAAATATTTCTTTGTTTTGAGAGCAGCTACTGAGTGAGTGGTAAAGCATAGTAGAAATAACTTTGGTTAAAAGTAAGTCAAATTTTTCTCTAAGTAATCTACCTACTTCCTGATGTTTTTCTTTAATATTTTGGAATTGTTCAAGACAAAATGGAGCCTACATATGTGGGTTCCACTGGTATGTTGAAAATGTCATATCATGGAGAATTTGGACCTTCCAAGTGTCTGTTAACCATCTTCTCTGTGTACTTCTGGCATCTTTTTTGGTAGGATCATTTGGCAGGAGGTAGAGTACCTGTACTTTTGGCACCATTGAAACCAGCTCTGGCCCACTTGTTTGAACAGCTATCAGACTCAGCGTCTCCATATGCTTTGTATTTTTTCAGTCCACAGTTGAGAGAACCAGTGTTTAATGCTCTTTGAAATTGTTTCTGTATCTTCCATGGTTCAGACAAGATGCATTTAACAAAATGGATATATTCCCCCCCAAAAAAGAAGTTATCTGCTGGGTTTCTCCATTGTAAAGTTACCTTTTCCCTTCAAATAATCCAGGGGGAGCTGCCTTGAGAGTGTATGGATATTCTATTCTCCAACAATTTTTTTTTTTTTTTTTTTTGAGACAGAGTCTTGCTCTTTTGCCCAGGCTGGAGTGCAGTGGCACGATCTTGACTCACTGCAACCTCCATCTCCCAGGTTCAAGCAATTCTCCTGCCTCAGCTTCCCTAGTAGCTGGGATAACAGGTGTGTGCCACTATTCCCAGCTAATTTTTGTATTTTTCATAGAGATGGGGTTTTGCCATGTTGGCCAGGCTGGTCTTGAACTCCTGACCTCAGGTGATCTGCCTGCCTCGGCCTCCCAAAGTGCTGGAATTATAGGCATGAGCCACCGCTCCTGGCCTCTCCAACAGTTTTTCACCTAATAGTTTTGATGTCTGTGGATGAAAAATCTTTAATGACAAAACTGGTGATTATTTTTCCAGTGCTTTTTGTTTTTTCCAATAAAAACAGCAACTGTTGGCCAGGTGCAGTGGCTCATGCCTGTAATCCCAGCAGTTTGGGAGGCTGAGGTGGGAGGATCACCTGAGGTCAGGAGTTCAAGACCAGTCTGGCCAATATGGTAAAACCCCATCTCTACTAAAATTATAAAAATTAGCCAGGTGTGGTGGCACGTGCCTGTAGTCCCAGCTACTCGGGAGGCTGAGGCAGAAGAATCGCTTGAACCCCAGAGGCGGAGGTTGCAGTGAGCCGAGATTGCACCACTGCACTCCAGCCTGGGAGACACAGCAAGATTCCGTCTAATAAATAAATAAATAAATAAATAACAACAACAAAAAAATAAAAACAGCAACTGTTGAAAAGCGATTGAATATGCATTGAAATACTAATGCTTTATGTAGTGATTTACACACAAGCCCATTGTACCTTTAAAATTAATATTCATTATCTGTGTTCATTTACACCCCAAACATTTTACAAATATGGCTTAAAAATATATAGTATAGCCATTCCTCCAAAAGAAAGTGGCATAATTTTTAG